TTACATAGAAGAGGAGGCAAAGCAGAAAACCAGTGAAGAAGCCACCTCCAACCCCCACACTCCTAGTCCTGGACTGGGGTAAGGGATAATACGTAATTGAATGATATTCAGTGTTATAGGGCTATTAGGCCGCGATGACTCTTTATTACCTAGTAGTAGCCAAAAAAGCCAGAGACTTTCTGGAGATTTCATTCAGGTTTAGGTAAATAACTTTTCAATAAGCAAAGTTTAATGGGAAAAGATTGTACTCGATTGATCCCACTTCCTTCAGAAATTTGGTTACATGTATGTACCCACTTCCATGTAAAATATATGTTTAGATGTATACATATTATATTAAGATATATATATATATATAATATGAAGATAATTACGCATATTATCACAAATAATGCTGCTGTGAATATTCTCACAACTAAATCTTTGTGCCTTTGGAGACATTTCCAGAACTGGATCAGCAATTATAAAAGTTTTAAAAATTTTTTGATAGATATCACTTATGCTTCAAAACAGTCATATCAGTTGATATCAATTTACATTCTCCATGGAAGCTTCATTTCTCTTTTCTTAAAGATTTTTGGGTACAGGTCTTTAGAAGTAGATTTTTTTATATGGTCTTACCACTTCCAGTCCAGTCCCTTGTAATCTATATTTTATTCATCAGACAGAATAATATTTTAAAAATATAGCTTTCCTGGGGTGCCTGGGTGGCTCAGGCGGTCGAGCATCTGACTCTTGGTTTTGGTTCAGGTCATGATCACACGATCCTGAGATCAAGTCCTGTGTCGGGCTCCATGCTCAGCATGGAGTCTGCTTGAGATTCTCTCCCTCTTCCTCTGCCCCTCCCCCATGCTTGTGCGCTCTCTCTCTAAAATAAGTAAATAAAATCTTTAAAATATATATAACTTTCCTGCATTTGGCTTTCTCAAGTGCTCTTCACTCTAGCTGGAATGCACTTCCCCAACATTTCCCATAGCTTCTTCCCATCTTTTGTGTCTTAGCTTAGTCACCTCCTCAGAGAAGTAAGTCTTCCCTGACTCTCTCTTACTCAAAGTAAGGCTTCCTTTACCCCCCACATAACACACCACTTCTGTTCTTTAAACTGTCATCTATAGTTATTTAAACTGTTTATCTGCTTGTTTGTTTTTTCTCTCTCCTCCTGAGGTATAGGCTCCATGGCGACAAGGATTTTGTTTGTGTGCGGGGTGTGTGTGTGTGTGTGTGTGTGTATGTGAGTGAAACCTTACTGTGGACAGTCTCCACCCATAGCAGGTCCTCAGTCAATATTTGTTGAAGGCAGGACGGAAACAAGGAAGCAATGAATGACAGAAGCCGACCTGCTTCCAGGTTTTCTCTCACCTGATTTCAGTGTCATCTTCCAAGTCATCCCTCTTTAGGTGGGTAAGGACTGGTGGAGGGGCACCTGGCCGCCCAGCAAATACCCTCTCTCCTTAGTGATAGCCAAATCATTTTCATTAGCACTGTCTCCCCTTGCCAGGGGAAAGGCTGCCCGTTTCTGGACTCTTCCACTGAGAGCAGTCTGCAATGGGGCCAAAGCTCAAGCTATTTTTGGTAAAGATATTGGACAAGTGCCATTTCAGCCTCTGCCCTGGTACTTTGCAGTACTTGGTGAAAGTACACTCTTCTTGGGCAAAGCATGGGAACCCATCAGCTACTCTGGAAAACTGCAGAAGCCTCTGGATTTCTGCACATAATTTTCTGTCCTGAACAGCTTTATAATAATAATAATAATAATAATAATAATAATAATAATAATAGTTGGCTGAATGGAATACGGAGGGAATGGCATGAGTCATTCACGTTTCAGGCTAGAGTGGGTTTCCACCTTGAATATGTCAGAGTAGGGGAACTATGGATTAATTTCTGGCTCTGCAACATGATGGTTATAAACTTCTATTTCAATTCGTGACACAGTTTTGCTTCTTATCAACAAGATGTCCAAAGAAGAGAAAAGTACTACTATATGTAATTCATTTTGATCTCACACTTATTTCATTTTAATGCAATCAACTCTTATTCCCCCAGCTTACACAAGAGCAAGGGATTAAGCATACTCAAAGTGACTATGATGACCACTTGTTGGCAGAAGGGAATTTGGATGCTGAGGAAACAAACAAATAAGAAGCTTAAAGTGTTGGAAATTGGTTTAAAAACAGGGATTGAAATAATGATTTTTTTAAATGATTTATTTATTTTAGAGAGAGAGCAAGAGAGAGCAGGGGGAGAGGGAGAGGGAGATAAGCAGACTCCCCACTGAGCTCAGAGCCCTATATGGGGCTTGATCGCAGGACCCTGATATTACGATGTGAGCCAAAATCAAGAGTAGGATGCTTAACTGACTGAGCCACCCAGGTGCCCCAAATAATGATTTCTGTGTGTGTGTGTGCGTCACCCTTATGCCCGGTGAAACTGAATTGTGTGTGACTGTATGTCCATTTCGCAGTGTACAGTTGAGTGAGTTGTGCACTACGCAAATCTATAAGCACTACTTACATTGTATATCTCTGAATTCCTCTGTTCCTCTTCTGCCATGGTTGTGTATTACATGTTTTGGACAAGAACAAGTGGCTGTCCGTCCTGTGAATAGTACAGTCTGTGTATTTTCCACATTTAATGGTTTGATTTAACCAAAAACAAACAAACAAAACCATATATTGGGTTCTGTCCTGCAGTTAAAAAAAGATCACTTGTCTCTTCACAACTAGTTTGACATTTTCTAGTTTGATTCTAGGTTCCTCACGTCTGGCTTAATTATTTATGGATGTAGATTATACTCAACATTAATTATCGCGGGATGGGTTTCTCAGTTTCAGGATTTGTTGGTAATTCTTTTATCGTGAGCCATTCACTTCTAGGTCCTTATGCCTCCTTCTTTGTTTCTATGCTACTGTTGATTTGGTCTACAGAGATGTGTTAGACAAATGTCTTCCATGAACACATCTATTTCGTGGCAACCATGGACAGTATTTTTTTTTAAGTTCTAAACCTTCAAAAAGAACTAATCAAATGATTTTATCATTTCATCCTTCTTTGGTGAGAGATTTAAACTTAAAACATCATTTATATCAAATGGCAACACAATGACAGAGCTAATGACTTACTAGATAGCAAAAAGCATTCTCCTTCCGGAATATTTGCCTTTGGATTGTCTCAGTGCTCCTATGACATATTCTTGGGTGGTTCTCTTCTTTATCTGACACCTACCAAACCAAAGTGACTAAAAGCTAGTGTTCCTGGCCAGAAAGGAAAGGTTGATGTAATCTTAGAGTGGAAGAGTCTTCAAATCTCATCAGGTCAAATAGTCCACTCAATAAATTAACTTTCTTCTCCATAGCTCTGACCACAGGTCATCCAGCCTTGGTTGGGTCACCTCCCGTGAACAAGAACTGTCCATTTCTGATGCTGTCTTTGTGCCTTTGCAGATAGGGCAAATGATCAGAAAGATCTTCCTTGGAAAGGAAGGAAGCTGCCTCCCTCATGACATCTGCTCTTCAGAAGGGCTATAGGACAAAGCTGGTATCACACATATCTCCCTTCGGTCCCTGTCCTGTGGTACCTAGGGCAAGTCTCAATTTGTTGGAGCTTCAGTTTCCATGTGCGCGATAGTCCGTATCTCATTGGTAAATGTGCGGGATAGTAGGTATCTCATTATTCCTTTAACAGGATTAGGACCACGTCTGGCAGCCTGGTGCCCAATAAATGTCAGTGGGTATCAACTCAAGCATGCTTCAGGAGGGTAGTGCATTCAGGGGCAGTGAGTGCAAAATCTGTTCCCCTTTTCCTCTTATTCTATAGGCAGTATCCCTTAATGGTTCTGAGAGTGAGCTCCATTGCTAGGCTACTGGGGTATAAATATGGGCCTGGTACTTACATAAGGGAAGATGTATCTCATAGGTACAGGGGAGTTTAAGTAAGTTAATCCGTGAGTGCGGTTTAGAGCTTTGACGGGCAGTAAGAATTTATCAAGCACCTGCGCCGGGCTAGGCTTTGGGGGTACACATATTAATGAGGCCAAGGGTTAGCCCCTGGGAAACTTACGTTCGGGAGGCAAAGATGGGCTCAAACAAGGAAAATGTAGCAAATGATATCACCGAAGGCTGGGTCCAGGATGCCAAGGAAACCAGAGAAAGCTCTCGTACAGCTTAAGCCAGGGCAATTTCCCTCCCCTCCTATGCCAAGGTCAAGGCAAACCATGGCAACACTGCCTCCCCAGACACCCGCACAACAGAGGTAAAAATCAGCCCTTCGAAAGAGATGGGGCTGAAGGGAGAGGCGGGGTAGGCGGTGGCTGTGAAAAAGTGAAATTTCTTCTCCTCCTAAAATCAGCCACCGGAGCGAGAAGAGGGCGCGCTATCTCGGCAGGCTGTGAGCGAGGTGCGGGGGCGGGCTGGGGTGCGCTCGGGGTCCGGGAGGACGGGAGGGATCGGAAGGGGAAGCGGGTCGGGCAAGGTGGGCGGTAGAGGAGGGGAGGGGTGCAAGCGCGTTCAGGGGTGTCTGCCCGCGGGTGGCCGCGGCCCGGCACTGGGGCCCGCGCGGCTCCTCCACTTCGCGGGGCGGGGGTCTCCCACCCCTCCGCGGTCGTTCTTCTCTTCCCTGTACCTCCTCCTCCTCCTTCCCTACCTCCCGCCCCTCCTCCTCCCTCTCCCCCCCTTCTGCCGGCCCCGGGAAGAGGCAGGGCTGGAGCCCTGAGCAGCCGCCGCTCCTCCTCCTGGCAGGCTGGCTGATGAGTCAGCTGACGGCGGCGCTCCAGCCTCGCCTCGCGGCGCTGCGCTGCGCTCTCCGCGCTCCCCCAGAGTGGCTGCCAGCCGGCCGCCCACTTTCAGGGGTTTGGGGGACAAAGTGATGTGCGCCTTCTAAAGCCGCGCCGAGCCGCAGCCGAAGCAGCTTCTCCTTTTCAACTTTCTCCCCGCACGTCTTCTCCTGACCCTGCCCTTAACCCGCCCCAAAGCCACTTCGGGTGCGGGCGCTCGGGTGAGGGGGGTCACCGGCTGTCCGGGATGGCTTCCAATTTTAATGACATAGTGAAACAAGGGTACGTGAGGATCCGGAGCAGACGCCTAGGGGTAAGTCTGATCGTTTTTTTTTTTTCCCTGTTCGTGCGTTCAATTGTCTTCATCCTTCGCCAGCATCCCTGGAGGCTGGCAGGAGATTGCCCGGCCGCGCACTGGTGAATTGTACTGTGGCTTTCTCAGCCGAAATCCACAATCGCTTGCGGCTGCCCCTGTAAGGCCGGGTCTAGGTATGTAATGGATCTATCTTTATCTCTCGGATGACTTGGCTTTCTGATGGTGGCCGCGTGTTCGGCTTCAGTAGCCACTGGAGCCCATCGACTGGAAATAAATATTTCTCGGTAGCCAAGGGAGTTGGAGCTGAGAAAGCCGGCTGGGGGTGCTGAGCCTGCAGGGTGCCCCCGGTGCCCCTTTTCCCACTCGCCGCCAACTTAACTTTTCCAGAGGATGGGAGGCTAGCTGAGGAAGAGGGCAGGCGCTCTCGGTGTGAACAAGGTCAGTGACCCCCTGACCCCAGGGAGACATTGCTGCCAAGCGGAAGGTCTGTTTGGGCATCGAATCCTGGACAGTGACCCACCTCTGTCCCAGGTGTTGGCTAAGGCGGTGTGGGCTGGCCTCTGGCCAGGCCAACTTGGGGTGGATATCCGAATCTGAATTTTCTCTGCTCCTTATCCCGGGTGGTGAATTTCTGTTGCTGGAATGCACATTGGAAAGCCACTGGAAGATTATTTAGGGTGGAACATAATACCTGGCACAGAGCAGGTGCTCCCTAAATATGAACCACGAGAAAGAATGAATGAGTCTGAGGGTACTTGTAGGGGACAGATGTTGGCATAGGGATGGCTCCTCTCTTTTGACCTCTTTCCCTTTGCTATTCATTGATAGGACTTCAGAGAGAACTCATTCAGCTTCTCTTTGAGATGGAGTGATGGTGAAGGAATTCTCCAGAGAGGGGGACGATACTGGAATGATTTTTTCCCCCAGATTCCAACCTACCTCATTTCTCTTTGCCTTGTGTCACATATTGTTGCTGTTTTTGTTTGTTGGGTGTGTTTGGATATTGGGGTTGGGGGGGCAGAAAGTTTAGTAATGTCTGAAATAATATCAGCAACGGTGTGCAATGACCACACTGGGAGTATAGTTACAGTGATAAACTTAATGTCTTTCCCCACAAATAACATGTCATTGGCACCTTTCTCTTCCTTGGTCTTTGTACTTTTTTATGTGCTAGATAATTTTACTGAAAATTGAAAAGAAATTTCACAGTGGTAACCAGCTAGGGAGGATGAGAGGAAACGTCTGTAATTATTAGAAACTCTTCCCTGGTTTGTTTTGACCCTTTGCTTGCTTGCTTTCTTTTTTTCCCTGCTGGTTACCATGTTTTAGCAATTATGTCCCGTGTTATTGTGAATATATACATATATAATTAGGAAGAACTGTAACAGAACTAACCAATCCCTATCAGCCCTGTGAAAGTTTCTTTGATCTTTTCCGCCATGCACATACTCTTCTCATCAGCAGGAGTAACTATTGTTAGGGTACTTAACCTAGTGACTCCCATGCAAAGGGCAAGAAGTAATAGGAGCTTTATGTTTTTGAGAACCTTAAGGGCCAGCTGAGTTGTTACAATTTTAAAGGGAGCATTAAAAACACCATTCTAATTTTAGATTTACTCCATCATGTCAATTGAGGAAATTGATAAGAGAAATCCATTCTGTGTTAGGGAGCATTCCAATAGGAAGAAGACATGCATTATTAATGCACAAAATGTGAATTATTCATAAGGATTGGAGTGTATGCCAAATTGTGACACTTGGTGATTTATTTGAAAGACTAGTTACCATAACTTTCTAGTTTATGGTAATGAAGATTATTTTTCTATATATTTACAGCTGACATAATATGGTCCTATATGTGTGCCAATGTTTACAGACAGGTATTTGAAGCAGAAGGAAAGGAAATTTAGTTTAGTTTGTATTCATTTTATATTGTACATATTGTATATTGGATGCCAGCGAGCAGTCTACTTTCTCAGGATTTATTCATCTTGTCTGCGTTACTACTCAAGCGGATTTTAGAATATCTATAGAATGATGGTTATTGCTCATGGAGAGAAGGGTCAAAGACATAATCAGTAAAATCTGGTCTTCTTTAGTAATACTGGTTTTATCACCAGTTAATTTTTTAAAAGTCTTCTTACGATGCGATTGATTTATATAAATGAAAGAGGCTGATTACATAGTTGTCAGAAAACACTGCAAACTGAAGTTTTCATGGAGGTCCCAAGTGGTAAGGAGGAATGGCTTCAGGGAATGGTATAGACCCTCTGTCCAAAGTAAGAAGTGTTAGTGGTATTAACCCAGGCTGCGTAGAGCCTAGAACAGCATGTGCCTTGTGTAAGTTTCAGCCCGGGCTCTGGCATCACTTCTGTTCAAGGTAGGCACTCATACGAGCAGGTTGAACTACAGGGTGATGTGTGACTTCGCAGTTCATAAGCCTCTTGAGGAACTAATATGACATAGTTGTTTTATTAATGGAATCCAGACAAATGTCTATGGATTAGAACCATGTTTGGGAGAGTTTATAATTAAACAAGAAAACAACATTTCATGGTAAGCAGCTGTTGTGCCAAGGAATGCTCCCTCAGATTTGGAAAAGGAGGAAAGAGCCAATTCTGCTTCTATTACTCATGAGCTCCATGACCTTGACCTCTCTTGGCCTCAGTTTTCTAATCTGTACAATGAACACTATTTCATGATGTTGGAAGTATTGACTAAGATAATATCTGTGAAAACGTAATGAAAGCATAACATTGATTCTGATTGCATTATTTGTTTGGTATAATCAAAGGTGAGTTAGGATTGGTGGAAGAATATGGGGATTATAGATATCTCTCTGTCCAGAAGTGTCCAATGGCATAAGTGGCTTTTCAGATCTAGATGTTTTCATTGAGTGAAGTTTTTACAAATTCTATACATTTAAGTGATTTTACAGTGGGACATGAGACATTTTAAGACTAGCTCCATTCACATGAATCAAAGATAAATGGTCACTTTTAGTTGAGATCCTATATAGTTCAAGCAATTAAGCAATCATTTTCCATACAGACTTACTCTTTTCTGTAAACATCAAAAGGATTAATGAAATTCAACTCCTTTAACTCAAAATCTCAGTACCTTTACATCTGCCTTCTCCAGCTTGAGCTCCAATGGTTCATAGAGGTCTCAAGCTGCATCCTGGTTTGTTCAGAAATGTCTGTGCCACAATTTGGGGGACTCGGGGAGGGAGGAAAGGAAGCAATTGTCTCCAATTATCTGGCTAATCCACAAAAGGCACTAAAAATGTTTTCTTAGAGGGATGGTGAATCAGGCGATTTGCACATCATTAACCTGACTGAGTGTATGGCTTAGATGGTGTCATATAACTGTCCTCACTTGGTTTCTTCCTTTGCAACAAAGAGAATTTCCAATCAATAATTGCCCTGCATGCCTCGGAGTTTAAATTCAGAGCTATTCACTTAATCTACATGCAGTCTCTCGATTACTCGCGTTTAAATCACATCATGATGCTCTTGTACATCAAGGGCCTCTTCTCCAGTCTAGCCTGCGTCCTCATCTGGACGACTAAGAGTCTCAAACTTAATGCATCCAAAACCCTTGATTGTTTCTTCCAAACCAGCTTCTCCTGGAGTCTGCATCTTGGCCACTAGAGGTCCCAATATTTTAATTGCCCTGGTAAAAATTAATCGAGCAAGCAAAAAAAATAGCAAACAAACCTCTGTTGCATTTCTGTCTGCTCTTATCTCTCTCCCACAACCAATCCATCACAAGATCCTATGGGCTCTATCTTTGAAATATATCTACAATCTGTCTTTCATACTATCTGCCACTACCATCCTGACCCAAGTCCCCATCATCTCCTCCGTATAATATTAAAAAATACCTCCTAATTTGTCCCCCTGGCTGTTCAAACCACCAATGCCTTTCCATGCAATTCAGGGGAAGAGACTTAGATGGGCTCAGAGGCCCTCTGCTGACTCAGAACCTTTTCTCTTGCTGTTCCCTCTGCTATTCCCTCCAGTATTTCTTCCCAGCTGGCTCCCTCATCTCCTTCAGTCTTTCTTCAAATGCCACCTGCTCACTGAGGCCTTCCAGATACTTAGTTTTATTTCCTGCCTCCTCCTCCTCCCCCATATCTTCTATTTCTCCTCCCCCATATCCCTTCCATTTCTTCTCTCTAGACTTACCATCGCCTCACATACTGGTCTGTTTATTTTACATGTTGATTGCCTGTATCTCCCAAATAGCACATGAGGCTCCATGGGGGCTGTGACTTCTCTTTTAGTTATAGCTGAACCCCAGTGCTGGAACAGTGCCCAGCACTTCATCAACAGTCTTCTTGATGAAGACTTCTTGAATGAATGAATGGATGCATCATTGTGAACTGGTTTAAGAGCGTACACTCTGACATGAGACTGTTAAAATCCCAGGTCACCGACTGGTTATGTGGCTTTTTTGGTGAGTTCCTTAACATTTGTAAGTGTCGGTCTTCTGTAAAAATAAAGAGACTCATAGTACCCACCTAATATATGATCCTCATAAAGGGCCCCACACAATGCTTGACACATTGGAAACTTAATTAATGTTTATTACTGCCATTTCTCACTACCACGTCTGTTAGGGATGATGATGCTTAGGTGGCTATTATGTTTACTGCTTCTACTGCAATAACTCTCATTCTCAAAGAACTTGCTGTTTAGTTAGGAAAACAAACTTAATACACATGCAGTAACTAATATATAAGCACAAATATTGCTTGACAATAATGCTAGGTCTAGAAAGAATATTTGCCTTTGCAAGATTTTTCATGACCCTGGGATAAATGACAAAGATAGTCAGAGACAAAGAAACTCATCTCCATGAAACTTCGGTTTGAATGAACGCATCAGACTAGGAGGTATTTCTGTTAATTTGGGGGTCTTTCTCTTGGGTGGTAGAGAATGGATTTGAAAAAATGGGTTAGTTAATGGCCCGATTTTAGGCAGAAATATTTTC